TTCCTTTCTTTTCCAGTCCTTCATCCCTCCCTTATTTAGCTGCTGGCTCTGGGTCGAGTTGAGCTGACTGATTTCACTCACGGAGCCTCCGATAGAAATGATCAAAAAGCAGGTTTATAGGAATTGAAATAATGCTGGATGTTAATGTTATAGTTGGACACTTTATCACAGTTTTGTCGGTGCATTTCTTAAGAGGTTGAGACTGCAAAGGTTGGGTTTCACTTCTGAGTCTCAGAATTTCACAAAACTGTGTCTTCTGAGTGAAAATGTTTTAATTAGTTCAGCATATTAAATCAGAGATAATCACTCCTAACCTGCCGGTTGTCAGCGTTATTCTAGTTATACCTGAATGTTCTTAGAAAATCAACATTTTCTATTACAAAAACATCAATAAATATATAAATTCAGTGTTTTCTAACCATCTTAGCAGACTTCGGTTATTCGAGTTCCAGAAGTTGTAAATTTTGAGACTCAGAAATTTCCGAAGTGACTGAAATGGGAGCTGGTTGGCCATCATTTTAGAGCCGATGTCTCTGGTTTTATTGTATTTTGAATAAACTTTAGCTGCACCAACTCGTCGGTGACGCTGCAAGCTGAACATTATCTACCTGTAACCCGACAGGTGAACTCTAATCAGCCCGTTTTCTCTTTCTCTTCACAGTTCTGTTGAAGACGTGTGTATGAGTGTGTGTGTCTGTGTGTGAGTGTGTGGTTGTGTATATTATTGAGTAAAGAAGCAAAGTCAGTAAATAATTAAATTTGAATTTGCAAAATATTTTTTATTTTGTAGTTTCTTTTTTATAAAGATAAGACTAACAGTTGTAATATACTAAAATAAAAATCTGGAGAAGTTTCTGTTTGTTTAGTTTTGGATGGAGCTTTAAGCACATTTACAGTTAGGTCTGGTGAAAGTGGTGGTGATGATGATGATGATGATGATGCCTTTCTTTGCCTTGTTTTCCTGCCACGTATTTTTCTTCTCACTTATATTAAAGTTGCTCTTGGATTAACATCCAGCCCCTGGTCTATTTTTTTTATTTGTTCGCTTTTTATTGAAAGAGTCGAATTCCCTGGACATTTTTTTTTTCCCATTTAACTAGTGGAATCCTGTTCCCTCCCAGTTAATCAGATGAATCGATTGTTGAAATAATTGTCAACTGATTTATTGGTCAAATAATAAACTGGAGTCAAACTCCAATGAGGCCATGTGATTAAAGAACATAAGGCACAGCAATAATTAAACCAAAACTGTACAAATGTATGTAAGTTTTGCACTCAAGATAAAAAAAAAAAAACTTGTTTGTAAACATGCTCTAGCCAGAGCTAAAGTGGTAGCGTTAGCTTCACCTGGTTCAAAACATTAAAACAAATATCCTATCAAGCAACTTTTGCCTTCATTTTGGTTAATCCAAATTTTTTGTAGGTTTTTTTTTTTTTATCTGCAGATGCATCCTTTGCTACAAATGATCAGGCATTGATTAAAGTAAAGTTGTTTTTTCATTTTAGGACATAAAGTGTTTTCTGACTTTTTAAAAAAATCCTTTTTTTAAATGAATTTTTAATGTGAAATAAGCTTAACTTGTTAAATAATACATTTTTAAAACTTCCCGGGTTTTCTTTTTTTTTATCCAATTAGATGTCAGAATAATTAGTTACTAAAATATTTGTTAGTTGCAGCTCTAGTCAAAAGAGCAGGGAAATGTATGCAATGTTAACCTGAGCAATACTAATATCGGATACCAATATCGGCTCAGATTTTTTTATTGTCGCATTTCTATTTCTTTTCAGACATTTTAAACTGAGAGCCAATGTGGTAAATGTGGTGGATAATAATATGTTTAAGTTAAAGACAAAGTAAGGATCAAAATTCAAATAAACTGCTTGAATTAAATTTTTTTTTTTTTAAATGGCTGCAAGCGCCGTCTCCATGCAGGTGTCAGAATATTGTCAGTCCTTCAGAGGATACTGACTGTGACTGTAAAAAAGAAAATATTCATGTGACAGTTGAAATAAATCAGGAGAAAGCCTGTTCCTCTCGGTGATGGTGGTGAGCGTGTTGACAGAGGAGATGAGGAGTGGTGAGAAAGCCGAGCTCCTGCAGAAAGCTCCTGCAGTGTTTGTTGTGGAAACAGCGCTGAGCTCTTCCCATACATGAGCATCGGAGGAGGAGGAGGGATGCGACGAGACACTTGCAGGCTCTGATGTTCCACGCTCTGCTCGCCATCTTCTGCCTGGACGGAAACGCGGCCGAAGGCACACAGTGGACGACACAAACCGACCCACAGCAACTGTTGGGCTGCTGAAGAAATGAAGAAACTCAGTGATGAAGGTGACTCTTCCAACCATGTCAGAAGTCGAGTCGCGGCTGAAGGATGCTAATCCTTGTTTCTGGTAATAACTGCTAATTCGTTTTCCCATCCGCCTCTGCTGACCCTTCACAGGGTTCAGCAGGTACGGAAAACAAATGCTGGAAAACCTTTCCACGGCATCACCCCAAACAGCTTCAGCTTGGTCTTCGCTTATTACATTTACTTAGCATAAATGCTGCCTCATTACTACTGATTAAAGTTCTGGGGTGGAAAATTTACTCAAATCAAACATTTTGCCAGTTTTTCCCAGAATAACAAGCAAACTGGATTCCATTAGTTTAGCAGAAAACCCATTCGAAGTTTTGAATCTACGATCCTTTTCCTACAAATCAGTCCGGCCACTTTAGTTTTTACTTGAAACGGTTCATGCTTAATTTATTGTTGAGCAGGTAAAAGAAAAGTAGTTTTTGAAATATTTTTTACTCTACTTTTGAGCTGAAGCTTTTGGTCCACATACCACAAGGTCCCGCTAAAGAGGCTATAATAACAGGTTATTAACTGTTTATAAAGTGAATCTTTATAAAGTGGCAGATAAATATCTCAGTGAAGGTAATTGTGATATTTTTTTCTAAACGGTAGAGCAGTTGAGAAAAGCCTTACAGCCACTCAAAATGAAATGACTGAATAGATCAGACATAACTTTTTATTCTGTCCAATCAGAATCTTCTGTTTCCTCTTTTCCTTTTCAGCCATTTTTCTGTCAGAAAATCACCAGCTGTTGCTTTTTTCACGCCCGACCTGCTGATTCCGATTCTGTCCCAAAACGATTTTTTGTGTCGCTAAATATAGTAACATAGTTGCTAAATTGACAAAAGTGAGTTGACTAAATAGTGCGGGTCTGTTTCATGGTGGACCAAATGGAGCTGGTGGCAGGTTTTCACACCTTTGTAGAGGCAGATAAGATCGTTTTGACATCAGCATCAGCCCACAGGTTGTGCTGTAAAAAGCCAAAATGTGCCTGGAAAATACAAAATACAGACAAGTATGATATGTTACATTCAGTTGTTATTGAAAGGCCCCACATATCAAATATGACTTAAAAAAATTGACAACTGTCTCTTTTAAGAACCTCCTGCTCTTTCCAGCATGTCATCACAGCTAGTTTAGGCCTAAACTAGCTTTTAGGCACTCCAATTGGCCATCGGCGATTAAAGGATTTGCGAAACATGCATGAAAACATGAGGGAATCATATTAAAACATGGTGTAAAAAGTTGGTTTTAAAAAACACCGTCCCTTTAAATCTGCGCTCCTCCAGGATCTCTGCTGATGAACTCAGATGATCTGTTCAGTTTGCATGAGGATAAATTAAAGCTTTGGGTTTTATTCCTAAGATATCACCTGCAAAGTTTTTACTAGTTGTGGAAGAAAAACAAAATCTGCCTTTTGCTTTTTGATGTCTTATCCAGCCATTTTGCTGCTTCTCCATACATGCATGCGTGATGCTTGGACATTTGTGAATGTGTGACACACACTTGAGAAATCCCAAACAACAGCACCTCAGGTTACAGTGAACTGTGGGAAAGAAAACAGGCACACAAGCTGCAAAATGACAGTTTGATAGGTTGTGTGAAAGTATGTGCTGGTTTCCTTCAGGAGCGCGATGTTAGCAGTATAAACACTGCTAACTCTGCTCAGTTCATGTTCACTTTCACTTCAATAAAATGTCACCTTAGGAAATGGACTGCAGCGTTTCTTCTCTTCTCAGTTTCAGATTTGCTTCTGGCCTAATTCATCCAGTCAGAACTGGTAAAGTGAATTTAAGCTGGTTGCTTTCTGGAAAGCAGCCAACACAGGTTTAATTGGGTTGTGTTTGGGGACGCTGGGAATTTTAGTGTTCCTTATTCTTTCCCAAAAAGGTTTTTGCTCATTGGAGGAAACGGGAGTACCAGGAGAGAACGCTTACATTCAGACGAAGACCCTGCAAACCCAGGATCGTCTTGATGGCAAAAGGAAAATCACCAAAAATACCTGCAAAAGAATATCCACATTAAATCAACTGCTGCTCTTTGATCCAGTAGAACGTGCTCCAAACTTTTTGTCATGTGGGACAAAATTGTTGAGTCAAAAACACTCATGGGCCAGCAAGACAAAACACATTCAAGCAAATAAAGTTGCCCAATTTTTTTTTACATTTAAATTAATTTTGCATGTTTGCTTTATTAAAATAATAGCATCCTATTTTCATATTCTTTTAGGATCAGTTAAATGTATTCTCAGTTATAAGAACAGGACTTGAGTCACTTTCTATCAAACCACTTTATACAGTAAAACTGTAGAATGAAGTCGAGTCTACTTGTATTGCAAACTTCATTTAAAAAAATAAAAACCTCACAAAGAACTTTTCTGGACGGGTTTCAGTGTGACGTCCAGGCCCTTTCCACACCTTTCCGTTTGGATCAGATGCTGTTGCTTTGTTAACTGCAGCATCACTTTTAAAAACACAGTGAATTCATCCTTTCCTTGAAAAAGCTGCAGTAAAAACAGAGAAGGAATCCGACCAGTAAAAAAACAAAACGTCTTCTTCGTTAGGAGCCAGAACATTTTATGTTTGTTCTAAATAATCAGGTTGAAATGTTTCTGTTTTATTAAAAAACACCAACGCAGAACAAATGACACCGCTACTCACTGGATGCTCAAGGGTTTCCGTTTATATATGTACAATTAAAATCACAGTTTTAACAAAATATAAAATAAATAACATTAACAATACTAAGGTAAATGCATTTTGAGTGACCAACCTGGTAAAAGACTCAGATAGCTCTTTTTTTTTCAATATTTAAATGGTCTGTCTGCCGCTACAGGCACCTACAAACATTTGTTCTCCTCACACTACATTTCCCAAGAAGCACCGGGGTCATGCATACCATCTCTGTATGTTTTTTATCAGCTCTTTTTCATGTTTTTTTTTTTTTTTTTGCACTTGGGATTTTTTCTCCCACCCCTCTTTCTGAACTGACCAACCACAGATCAGCCCTGCGGCCTCCTGCAGCCAATCAGGAGCAGGCGTGCAAATGGGCATCAGACAGTGGCGTGGTCAAAGGTGAGAGGTTACAGAGGTCAGCAGCAGCAGTGCCCAGGTAGGCCACCCTGGTGTGTGTGTGTGTGTGTGTGGAGGTGTGTAAATATTTGAATTACTATGCTTACTGGGACTGTTCTGAATGTGTTTTGATTTTGGGGGTATTTTTAAAGTGCAAAGCATTGAACCATCCTTGTTTGTTATTGGCTAATTAGATCTGCAGAGGGTTATTGATCACATCTGAGTTCTTTAGGCTGCAGTAATGTTATCCACCAAAGGTTGCACAATAAACTGGCCACTTTTCTAGAAAAGACACAGAAAAGATGTGGATTTCTGCAGCTAATTAGCCAAACTGGTGTGTGTCCCAGTAATCCCAGTTGATGCTTCTTCTACACACACCAAGGTTTGTACTGGAAGAACCTGCCATCGAACAGTTGGAGTTATTCTCAGCTGTGTCTAATTTTTGATAAATTGCTCTCATAATAACTACAATCTACTGAACCTAGAATCTGCTTGACAGAAAAGAACTAAACAAAATTTTCTTTAATATAAATGCAACTAAATTCAGACAGGAAGAGGTTACTCCTTGAGGCCACCATATTGAATTTTGAACCAGTTTGCAAAGAAATCAGACTTCAGGTTGTTTTCATAAGACTATTTGTTCTCTGTGTTTGAGTTGCCACTGCAACAGTGAATAAACATATCATATATACTATATACCCGGCATGATATCAGGCTGCAGATAGATTTAGCCTGTATGTCGGGTGCGGCCAAATGTTTTGTCACATTGACCAAAATAAAGTCAGAATCACTCGAGTCAAAAAATATAGAATTTCTGAATTATTTTATGACCCTTTTTTTCTGCTCAATAACCTCAGCATACAATAATCACAAAAAATACAAAACTTCCAATTTGTACATTTTTGAGCTTCACTGGTTCAATGAAAGGATTTTAGTCTTGGATCAAATTTTGCCATATTTAGAGAAGTTTAATCAGCGAAAAGCAGATTTTGGGGAACCAAAGTCTACATAACCAAGTCACTTTGACTTTCCTATAAAGTCAAATAGAATGCAAAAAGCATGTAAAAAGATGAATGTAAAGATTTCAAACATTTTCCATCATAAGATTTTAACATGTTTCTAATAATTTTGCCCAAATTCAAAACAAAAAGTCTCAGTTTGCATCAACCACCTGCACAAGTAGCAGCCAAACTTATGTCATTTTTAAAGATATTTGGGGGCCACATATGGCCTCAGGCTGCACTTTGGACACCTCTGCTCCATGTCTGATTTTTTATGTTTACTAGATGGGCTGAAAAGCTCATGTTAGTTAATGTGCAAAATTAGGATTCATAAAAAAAAAAAAACAGAACACAAGAAAAGGTTATTTCAAAAGTAATCATAACTATATATGATCAAACGTTAGAAAACCAGAGCGTTTTGCTGCCAGCTTCAAACTCTGCTGTTCCTGAAAACCGTTCAGGAAGTTGGTTTTGGTCTTGTGAGAAATATGAGTCAAGCTGTCATCTGCTGCCTTTGCTTCTATTTTAACGGTAACAAACTCACAACTCCAGCAGGAAAACCTGAGTTAAGAGACCGACTGTCCCTGAGAGGGAAACAGGAAACGCCCAGAGGAGACATTTTTGTCTCTTCTTTAACTCCTCAGGGTTTTCTTCTTCACTGGGATTTATTTAGTGAATTAACTTATTATTTCTGAACAATCCCTGTACGCAGAGTGACTCAAATATGATCAGTGTGTGACTGTTGTCTGGACTCCAGTGTTTTATTGCAGTGATGTGTGTGTGTGTGTTGGGTGGAGATCAGTACAGTCTCAGAGGAACTCTCCTCCACTTGCAAAAAATAATATTCAGGTGAGGGATTCAGTAGGAGAAATAAAAAGAAAAAAATATATATATATTTAATAAAATTGTTTCATATAGTTTTCTCTTAAAAAATAGACTCGTCGTCTTTTTGTAAATCAGTAGTTGGAAGGAACGTCGTCCTTCCTTCATCCGTTTGTTTATGACAGGTGGGAAACGATTGATCCAGAAAACTTTGTGGGTTTTTGTTTTAGAGGGAGGCGGAGTGAGCACCCGGTTCTTCCAGTTGAACGGAGGAAAAACGACAAAGAACGGACGAATGATTCAGCATCCGTCTTTTCCTTTCAGCTTTCTGTCCTTTGTCAGGAAGATGTGACTGCAGGTTGAAAGTCTGGGACGTCGTCCTTTGATTGGCTGGTTACGGCGGCTGGAGTATGTGAGGAAGGACGAATCCACCAAACGTTCATGGCACAGACCGACGGTTTTCCTCTTGAAATGCATCCGACTCTCACAAAGTAGTCAAGTACATCTCCACATAACAGTAGATCCTAACTCATAAATACTTAAATATCTCTGAACACGTCCTTCTCCGGTTGTTTACAGCTGAGGTGGAGCAGAAATAAAAAAAAAAGAAAAACAGAAATGGGAAGAAACTAAATCTGCCTTCACGGATGGGCTTGACCTGTAAACATGAGTGAGGATCATTGAACTTGAATATTTCTGGCAATAAATGTTAACCGATTCTACTTTCCTTCACTTGGATGTGCAGAACATTTGTTTTATTCAAATTAAGTTCAATTTTCAAAGCCTGAAAATGACCTGAAGCTGATGGTGGAAAAGACAAGGGAAGGACGTCTTGGCAGTGATTCAAAGAATACGTGATTTGAACAGAGGAGTGTGTGACAGAGGAGGTGAAACGCTCCTGTCCGAAGAACGCGAGGCAGCATGGAGGCGGACGAGGGGCTTCGGGAGGGAGGACTAGGACTCTGAGGAGGTGCGGGACCCGCCCAGGACCAGGGTCTTGTAGATATTGGAGGAGAGGAATCGTGGGTAGGAGTCCCTGTGCATCAGCGTGTAGATCTGCAGCTGGGCGTCTTCAAACGTGTGAGACGTGGGGTCCTGCATCTTCCTGTTGATCACCTCTCGAACCCGGGCATCCAGACTGACCTTCAGTTCAGAGCAAACAGGAGAAAAAGACAAAAGATGTCATGTAAGATCATATAAAAAATAAAAAACATCTGTTCTACTGTGATAAGATGAGAAAAACATATGATTGTTTGATATTGCACTGATCGTGTCCACTAACTGTGTGACATGTTCTGTATGTATACACAACATGTTACCATTAGCTAAAACCCATGATTACTTGAGACCGACTTTAAATTGTTTAAAATGCCTGTTTTGATTTATAAAATACCAAATATACCTAAACATGTTCAGTGGAAACCGTCTTAGCGCCACTGAAGCCAATATCTACCGTCTTCATCTCAGCTCTGGGGCCACAGCCAATCAACAGCAAGAAAATTAATGGTGCTCCTGGATTGGCTGCTTTGCCAGAACCAGCCAATAGGAAGCTTAGCTTCAGCTTCCAAAACTGCTTTCTTAAAATTTTTTTTGAATTTTTTTTTTAAACTGCAAATTAAAAAAAATTTGCAGATTTTTTTTGCTAATAATATTTTAGATACTGAATTTGATTATGTGGGGATCCACCTTAACAAGAGAAGAGTCCAGAAATTGTTAAAGAAAACTAAAGACAGCTGTGTTGCTCTTATTCAACAAGTCAGATTTTAGAGTTGTATTCCTGTCATTTTAATAAATTATCCAGAAACACAGAATAATAAAAACAGTAATTCAAAAAACACCCAGATTTCTCCAATCTTCCTTTCTTAAATGTGCAAAAATAAGTTATAAAAAAAATGTTTTCCAGCTTCCAGAATTCTTGTTTTTTTCTTTAATTCTGCCTCATAGAATCAAAAAGTCGCTTAAGTTGCACCTGTCTGCCAACATGAATAAAGCTAAAACTTCTCAAAATGCAAAAGTGTTCATGCATGCAAACCATCCAATCTGACGAATTTAAAGCAACTCAGATTGGTTTAGAATAAATTACATAAAATCTGCATTCAGCATTTACGCTGGTTACTCCTGTCTAATATTAACTTTTAATTTTGTGAAGCACTTATGTTTGGAAGCTCAAAAAATTTGTAACGCAGCAAAAACTTTTTTATCCAGTTGACCCTATAGGCTGACATTTTGTACTCACTCAGATGTTTCATCATTAATCAGCTCTCAGAGGCAGAAGTACAGTGAGGAGCCCTGACACACACACACACACACACACACACACACACACACACACACACACACACACACACACACACACACACACACACACAGAAGCCCTCTAGGCAGCACCAGATATTTATAGAAAGACAAGCTTTCTCTTATGCTTTCCCTCTGCTCTTATTTAGGGAAGCCTATGTGTCCCTCTAACACACACACACACACACACACACACACACACACACACACACACACACACACACACACACACACACACACACACACACACACACACACACACATACAACCCACAAATAGAGAGATAGGCATCGTACCAAGGTCAGATGTGCAGACAGACAGTCTGGCATGCATCTTCTGTGCCAAACTTGCATGGCTGCATGTCTCTATTTTAGTGTGTGTTGGTATGCATGTGTGCGTCTGTGTGTGTGTGTGTGTCTATAAAAAGGATTTAGTGCCTGAAGGTGATGAGAGCAGCAATTTATAGCTTCCTGTA